CTTGCATTGGGCCCCAAAGTCTGTAAATGTTACCCCCTAAACCCTCAACCCTATCCCTTTGATCCCTGCAGCCATCCCCACGTAACTCCCGAAACATAAGTCAGACTTCCACCCGAAAGGCCCAGAGGCTCTTCTCAGAACGTACACCTGACAACCCTTCATGCAAGGTTCCCTCAACACTGCATTGGATGAAATCCTGCGAAAATCGATCTTCCCCTCCTCCAAACAAGACTGGACAATGTGTATCACAAAAGGATTTTGGTATAACCCCCAACCCCCCAAATCAGGGCCCTATGACCATCATATGATGGCTGTAGGGTCCCAATTTGGGGGTTGGGGTTACCAAAATTCCCTTATTAGTGTAGCGTGACGACCCTGAACCCTAAACCCTGAACCCTAAACCCTGCACCCTAAGCCCTAAACCCTGAACCCTAAACCCTAAACCCTGAACCCTGAACCCTAAAACCTAAACCCCAAACCCCAATCCTAGGATCAACCCGGAGCCTTGGAGCTTTTGGCATCTTTCGTTGCCTTGCTCTTGTCCTTTTAAGGGTTCTAGGGTTTAGGGCTCCGGGACCCTAGGGTTCTAGGGTTTAGGCTCTAAGGTTCTAGGGTTTGGGGTTCTAGAGTTTAGGCTTTAGGCTTCTAGGGTTCTACGGTTTAGGGTTTAGGCTTTAGGGTTCTAGGGTTCTATGGTTTAGGGTTTACAGACCCTAGGGGACTACATTGGCTCAGCCATAACCCTTGAGTCCTTGTCTTCTTCCTCCTCCTCATCTTCATCATCGTCCTGGAGCGGAGGATAGACTGGGTTGCTCCTAACCCAGACCCCCTAAAGGATCCAAAACATGGAACCCGAAAACATGCCTCCATTACTACGTTGGGGAACCTAGGGGAATATTGGGGGCTTCATTTTTTGGATCCTGTAGGGGGTCTGGGAAGGAACTTAAAATCAAGTTACTACAGTAAGGAAACCCCATTATTCACTATATATACCCGTATCATGGTAACTTATCCAAAGCCCTTAAACCATTAACCCTAAATCCGTAAACCAATATTACGGTAACTTCTCCAAAGCCTTTAAACCCGTAACCCTAAATCCCTACACCAATATTATCGTAACATAATTTAGGCTCCTTAGTATCAACCCCGTAGAGTGGCTGCAGCAGCCAGGAAAGCTGGCAAGCCCAATCGTGACGGACGCCCAAACTCGAATATGGGCCATAAACTCAACGCTAAAATCCCCCTGACTTACCCTTATAATATAGGGTTTAGGGTTTAGGATTTAGATCCTCAACTCCTGGTATTCCCCTTAACAAGCCCTATTCTACTCCTCTACATAATCCCCTATGTAACCCTCTTTAGGAAGCTTAGACTGTATATAGTACCTACGAAATCCCTTATACAACCCACTTCAAGGATTTTAGATTGTAGTTCATATGAAGTTTCGAGCTAGCTTGGATGCGAAGCAGGCACCTTTTCCTTGAAATGCTGCAAGTCTTGTCAGCAAGCCCTATACCTAGAACCCCAAGCCCTAAACCCTCATAACCCAGAACCCTGGGCCCTACACCCTACACCCTAAACCCTAAGCCCTAAACCCTAAACCCCAACCCAGAACCCTACTAAGCAGGGAGGTGTGGTCACCCAACCGCCAAGGTTACGTAAGACATGAACAGCGGGGATGGCATTATGTAATTTCCAAAAGTAGCTGTTTTTTCTCCGGGTGGTAAAACCGTTGGAGCACGACCCATAGTAAGGATCATGCCACTCAACGCCTAAACCCTAAACCCTGAACATTAAACCCTAATTAAACCCTAATTAAGCCCTAAACCTTAAACCTTACACCCTGATTAAACCCTGAACCTTAAAATCGATTCTGTGTTACTTTCCGCCTCTCACCTCGGTGTTATTTGGGCTTCAGGGTGGGTGATTTCTGTCGATGGCTAGACCCAATGTCTTCACTTGAGCGCTTCTTCCATGCTATTCCTCTGTGAAAGCAGGTTCTTCAATTACAAGGCCCCTCAAATGTGGTAAGGCGGTAGAAAGGCCGCACAATGTCAGTTCGGATAGGGTTTTCGTGCGTTTGATATGGCGATACAGGCTCACAACAGGATCGTACTCCTAAGGTTTCACCTCCCGTATGCTGTCGCGATGTAGACTCCTTAGCAGACGCTGGCTCCACCGTGGCGAAAACGCAAGAGAGCAGGTTGAATGCACCTTGAACCCAGACAGCAACCACCCCAGGCCAAAAGACCATACCTTGAAGTCTACAACAGACATTCCCCCCCCCACCCGCCCCTCCCTCCCCTCAAAAAGGGTGGGTTTTGCCCACCCAATAACAGTGTATGATAAGGGTCATATTAAGGGCTATACATATATATAGATATTATAAATATTGTCCCAACTGTTCATGAGTGGGCGCAGTACCCAAGGTGGGTAAGTATTAAGCAAGTTCACAATCCGTGCATATGAGCCATTGTCTAAACTCCTAGTATCTCCCTTAATAACCCCTATAGTAGTCCCCTATATAATCCCCTATACAACCCCCCTTTAAGGAGTTTAGACTATAGCTCATATGCTTCAAACCCAAAACCCCTCCAGCTCCGAGCCACAAGCTTTCACCTTCAACCCCATAGGGTTTAGGGTTTAGGGGTTTAGGGTCTAGGGTTTAGAGTTTAGGGTGTAGGGTGTTTCGGGTTTAGGGTTTAGGGTTTAGCAGGCCTCCGCCTCCTTTTCAGTGGGGCTTTCCTCTTCCTCCTTGTCATCCTTTACCAGGACCCCCCCCCTGTACCCTTTACGCAGGGGTATATAGAGGGTAGATGGAGGGTTTAGGTACAGAAGTGTGGGTTGAGGTACACTTGGCGGGCTGAGGGACGCTGGGATTCCAAAGAAGATTCTAAGGGGCAACCTTTAAAGATTGCACAAGGCTGAATTTTTGAGAACTACTGAAAGGTGGATAGGTGTAACGGTGTACCCGCCCTAATACACACAAAATCCTAAACCCTGGATGCACAACAACAGGAATGGTTAATCTAAGGGGGTGCGGGCTTTAATACTGGGAGGAGGTGGTGGGTGATGTAGCCCTGAGAACCCAGGTAAGACACACTTCTTGCTTCCAGAGGCGATCCTTCGGCAAGTAAAATTAAGCTTGCTACCGGGATGTTTTTGCAAGGGCCAAGAAAGAACATAAGCTAATAGAGTATGATAAAGTGGCTCCCAGAAGACAAAAATCCTAAACCCTGAACCCAAAACCCAAAAAACTCATGGTGCAACTTTTGTGGTTCCTAACCTTCTCCTAACGAGCTGTTAGCTTTCGGGCAAAGACTGTAGACTTGAGCCAGAAAAACGTCTCCATGGCTTCGTAGTTGATGAGTCCAATGCACAGGGCCCAAGACGTGTCAAACCGTCAAACACCTCCAGCTCTACAACTCCAATCCCCTTCACTGAATTCACCGAGGCAAGTAGGTCTTAGGCTACAAGGCGGACCTGCGCATCGAATGGCCACAGAAAGCCCAAGCAGGCGTCAATGATAGTGATTTCCACGCTAGCGCCATTTCGAGCCCTCCTATGTTCAGCTTTAATGATTTTTGTGTTTATGAAAGTTCGCCCAAATGACGAACCTCTGCCCCAAAACCACCACTGCCCAATATCCGGCAGCTGTGCCAGTCCGTGCTTGACGTGCCTTACTGCCCTCAACTCCCCAGTGTCAAGCTCCAATGCCTTCTCCTCTTCATCTGCCTTTGTGTCCTCCGCCTCCTTTTCTTCCTCCTCCTTGCAAGGCCGAGGGCTTGGGTGGGCTTTACGGCCTTGAGATTCGGGTGCCCTAACTTAAGGTTAAGCTTGATCGAGGAAATAACCAAGGTTTAGCGCTTCAGGAGATGTACGGAGAGCTTTTGGAAATTTCGTGTGTCTCCAGGTATTGGCTCGGAACCGTTCGACGTCATCAGGTCATGCAGGCTTCAAATCCTTGACAGACCGTGCAGCATTGTTAGCAAGATCGGTGGGTACCTACTAATTAGGTCCGGAGGAATCTGAAATCTTCTCGACGTGCCAAGTTACTCTTCTTGACCACCTCGAAGACCCCCTTTTTTTAAACGGAAAGGAACTCTAAAATGCTGATTCCGAAATCTCGTCACATAGCAAGGCTTTTGACGTCCGTGAGTGCGGCCATCGCCAGTTTTCTCAAGCATTGCCAGCATATCCTGGACTTGATATCATAAGCTGCCAAGGAAGGTAATAGGGCCTGAATATACCTAATTGCAATACTCCTTTGTGGTAATCATTACTAGGTGGGGGATTGGGCCAAGTTTATCACCCCGGAAACTTTGAGTCCTAAACCCTGATCCCCAGACCCTGAACCCTAACCCCCCAAATCTGAAACCCTCAAGCTCTCAATCCTAAACCTATCCTAAATCGCTACATCCGAAACTTACCAAATCCCTAAGTCGACTGTCCTAAATCCCTAAATCCGAACTTACCCAACATCCCTAAATTCAAAACTTACCCTAAATCCAGCAATCCTAAACCCCAACCTCTGACTCCTCAACCCCTATAGACCTTGAGCATGCAGCGGTCCTCTTCCTCTTCTTCGCTGTCCTCCTCGACCTCCGGGTAGACTTCAGCAGTGTGACCCGAAGGGGGGTGTGGAGATAAGGATTTACATTTAGGGTTAAGGGTTTAGGGTAAAGGGTTTAGAGTACCCAGTACACTCTGCACCTTATCATAGGACTCCTCAAACGTGGCCCCTAATTTCGGAAAGCCCTATGTCTCTTTGTAAGACGAAGCTGGGACTAGACACTAGGTGACTGTACACGGAAGGCATGCTTACTCGGGGTTAGTAGGGAATAAGGGGATGTATTCTCCAGGGATTGAATAGGGATTAAATTCTAACCGCCTTTAAATAAAGGTTCCTGGATTCAAGGTCTACTTTGGGGTTTCTTAATACACAGAGAGGGCCATAGAGAGATTCGTATGCCTAGCTAGGCTCAAGCCAAAAAATCCTGTAGAAGCCGTCCATAGGTTGAAGCATCTTGCACGACGTTTTGGGGAGTCTGGCCTAGACACTGTGATAGAACCTGCGGTCCACAGAGTATCCTAGTCCCGAAAGAGTCAGGGCGGTCGTTCGGAGATCAAACCCTACTGTCATTTGGTACTTTCGAGAAATGAGGACCCTCGACAACAGACCTCAATATACTGTGACCTTTGTTATGAGGTCCCCCAAAAGGGAACCCCTAATTTTGAGACCCCACCCTTTCAAGGAGTTTAGACGTATCGCCTTTGACAAGCCCATAGTCCTTTATCTGATATCTAATCCCCTATGCAACGCCCCTTAAGGTATAACTCTCCTGACGGAGTTCAGATTATAGCTCACATCAGCATGAGGCTTTGAACATGGCCCTGCCTTGTCTGTTTCGGCACTTTCGTCGTCATCATCCTCCTTGCAAAAGTTGGGAACCCTAAACCCTAAACCGTGTGTGGTATGGAAGCTGCATTTCCTGCTGTCCCGCCCTCGGCTCGTTTCAAGTCTTGCAACCAAACCCCGGTGCGAAAAGTGCAAAACAGTGATCTCAGCCCACATTACTCTAGGAAGAACGGAGGATCCTCTTTTCATACTATAAGGAATTCCACACCCCAAAGAGTATACAGGATCCCTAACATTGATCCAGTGACTGTGTCAAGTTTGCTGCCCTTCTGCTCGCAACCCTTCATGCCACAGCTCGCGACCTCGACGAGTAGAAGTCTAAACCTTAAATCCCCCCTAATAATGGAGAATCAAATGGAAAAGAAAATGGAAAATGAAATGGAAACTGGGATTATGTAGGGGATTATAGGGGTTATAGTCTGTACATGTGGGTGGTTGTCAAAATTACGGCCCCTTTTTGGACCCCTATTATAATACGGCACCTAATATTCAGGGTACCCAAACAGGGACGATAAATTTTGACAACCACCCATATGAGCCAAGTCGAAATTCCGATACGAATCTCCAATATAATCCTCGAATTAATCCCCTCCAAGGAGTTTAGACTACAGCTCTCATCTGCAATGAGTCTTCGCGGCATCCCATCCTTCATAGGTCTATGGCTGGAATCTTCAACTCTGATTACGAGGAGCAGCCCCTGTACCTCAGATTATGCGAAGAAAGGTTTCAAGCAGCACGATGATCTCGTTTGGCAGTCTCCCAGAACAGGGGGACACCCCCGCACATAGACCCCCAAATACTATGATCCTTTTTAAGAGGAGCCCTCGGAATGGTACCCAAAATTTTGGAAAGCCGCCCCATGTGTAATGGTGAGTGACCTCAAGTTGTACTCCGGCTGGCAGTAGTTTCCATCTTATCTTATTTCCATGATCCCAATAAAACCCCTATTTCACCCCAATATACTAAATACCCTGTTTTAATATAGTAGTTTCCATTTTCTTTTCCATTATCCCAACATAAACCCCTACATAACCACAATATATACCCTGTTATACTATAGTAGTTTCCATTCTCTTTTCCACTATCCCATCCCGAAACCCACCTCAAAGCCAAGAAGCAACCCTGAGTTAGGGTTTAGGATTTAGGGTTTAGGATTTAGGCTTAGGGTTTAGGATTTAGGGTTTAGGATTTAGGCTTTGGGATTTGGGGTTTGGGACTCAAGGTCTAGGGTTTAGGATTCTGGGCTAAGGATGTTGGCATGGAAAAGAGAATGGAAACTACTATACTAGGGTTATATACGGTTTAAGGTTCATGGTTTAAGATTTAGGGGTTCAGGGTTTAGAATTCAGAGCTTAGGTTTTAGGACGGGGATTTAAGGTTCAGGGTGGGTTTAGCGGGGGCATGGAAGCCCTCAACTCCTGATCCTCCGGACGGAGCTTCGACGCACCAAATCTAAGCGCAACTCTGCAGCCCCAGATCCGTAGTCGACTTAACTGAACAGAATATGGAATTGCCCCATATCATGACAAGCTCTCCCCCAACCCTCAAATCTCAAACCCTAAACCCTAACTATCTACTAAAGGGACAATATCTACTAATGCCCTGCAATTCCTAAACCCTACACCCTAAATTCGTAGCTTCCATTTTTCCATTATCCCTATATAACCCCTATATCCCTATATGATTCCTATATTGCCCTTACATAGCCCCTATATCCCACCCTAGGCCATTGTCCTTCTTTTCGTCTACGGCGGAGGCCGGAGTAAGGATGGCCTTTTTCGGCTTCTCCTGTACAGGGGTAGTTCCCAAAATTAGGGTCTTCTTTTGGTACCTTAAAAGCGGGATGTAGGGATTATGTAGGGGTATATGTGGTTTAGGAATAGGGTAGTTCCCAAAATTGGGGTATTATGATGGTACCTCATCTATACCCAAAATGGGCTCAACATTTTGGAGGATAACCCACAAAGGGCGCAGGGTTTGGGGTTGCGGTTATGGCCCCAAACTATGATTTGCGGAGTTTTTTTCACGGCGGAATCCCTAACACCCTAAACCCTAAACCCTAAACCCTAAACCCTAGCAAAGACAATTCAGGGGGCAGCCCCCATTCAGGGCTATAGACGGGAGATGATGGAACAAATCACCCATATCAACACGGGATTTAGGGTTTAGGGTTTAGGGTTTAGGGCAGCTGTAGTCTAAACTCCAAGTATCCCCCTTTATAACCCCTATCATGCTCCCCTAAAACAAAATCCCCTATATAACCCCCTTTAAGGAGTTTAGACCCTAAACCCTAAACCCTGATCCGTAAACCCTAAACCCTAATCCCTAAACCCTATAGAATCCCCTATATAACCCCTTAACGGAGTTTAGACTTCAGAGAATAGACATCAGGGCAAGGTCTCCTAAGGTTCCTACCTGTAGCTGTTTTAGGGTTTAGGGTTTAGGATTTCAGGTTCAAGGTTTAGGGTTTAGGGATTACATAGAGGTTCTATGCGGAATATACCCAGGGTCCCTAATAAGATTTCGGCTACATTACTTAAACTATGGGGTATTGGGCTCCCTGGCGATGTAGGGGTTCCATAAAGAGGCAGCCCAAAATACATACCAATCTGCTATGATCCTTACTCTAAGGACCTCCATCAAAAAGAGGCCACTCATTTTTGGAAATCCTCAAAACGCTAAACCTTAAACCATTTGAGAGCAACTTGAAGGATGGAATCTCCGTGTAAAAGTGCTGAGCCCATGAATCGCTTGAAGCAGCGGTGCGGCAATAGCTACGTGTTTTTGTAGGTATATTACGAACCACTACTTGGGGGGTCAGGGGGACTTAGTAAGGATGCTTATAACCCCTATAAGCCATATAATAACCCCAGTTATCCCCATTATTGACCCAGTTACTAAGTCCCCTGACCCTCCAAGTAAGGAAGCCAGGGGGCATTGCCTTGTTTTAAGATTATACCTGGATATATAATCTCTAGATGAGCTACAATCCCCATTTCCCCTATGAAGATGAATGGACATGGGTTCAGGTTAGTCACATTAGAGACTATAGACTAGACTACTAAAGGGACTCCCTTACATCCACTCTTGATGTCCCACGGTCCCGTAACATTCACAGTAGCTTGCATAACAACTTAAAAGCCCTACCTAATACCCCTAAAGGGACCACGGACGTTTTGGGCCTGTTGCATGACGGTGACCCCCGATCTGCTGAAAAAAAAGAGGTCCCCGGGAACTCAGCTAGGTTCACAACATTCTCATATGAGCTATCGTCTAAACTCCTAGCATCCCCCTCCATAGCCTCTATGGATCCCCCAAAATACACCACCACCTCTCTTGAAGGAGTGTTGACTATGGATGGTATACCCTCAGGAGAAATCAATGTAGTCTATGGTGTAGGATTCCTTGGAAGGATTCTTCTCTGAGACACATCTTAGCCCTTGTAAACCCTGACCCCTGAATTTCGAACCTGGGTCCTAACCTCTAAACGCTGAACCCGAAACCCTCAGCCCTAAACCTGAACCCCAAACCCTAAACCTTGCACCCTAGAACTTTGCAATGTGGCCTCTTTGTCCTTGCTGCTAGCATCAGACTTGGCCTCAATCCAAAAACTGGGGTTTAGGGTGTAGAACACGCCTGGATCAAAGTTTTGGGGACTAATGGTGATAATCTAGGGTAAAATAGGGATAATGGAAAAGAAAATGGAAACTACTACTTAGGGTTTAGTTTTTTAAGGCACATGTTTTCCGTCTGTGGGTTTAGGGTTTAGGGTGTTGGGACTTAGGATTCAAGGCACGCAATCGAGGTTTGTGGGATGGGCTAGGGTTCTTGGTGTGGGGTCTTGGAGTACGGCTTCCGGCGCTTAGGGCCAGCTTAATGCAGGTTTAGGGTTTAGGGGTTTAGGGGTTTAGGGTTTAGGGGTTTAACTTTTGCAAGGCCCAAGTAGAGTTTGGTGGTGTCCACTCCAAATCAATCCAATTTGATTTGGGCGGAAAAACCACAGACTGCTGTACGAGTGGGGCGTATCTTTCAACGGCCTCATGAGAGAGGTTGGGTCTTATCATGTTAGCTTCGGCCTCGCGTCGGAGTTCGATAGCGTGAGATTCAGCAGTGATGCTGTGGAGCAAATTGCCATTTCTGCGGAAGGCCATCCAGGCTTCGAATAGACGCGCGACATCAAGTTGGACGGTAGGCCAATGCTTGCGAATGTGCTCAGGCAGGGCGGTGGTGGCAACAAGGCAGTGTTGCGCACAAGCAGGCCAACCGGGCCAAGTGAGCGTAAGTCCCCAAATAAAATACAACACAAGAGAGGCGCAAGCTACGATTCGGACATACTGCCGCGCAGCTGAGCACAACTGCTTATTGAACAACAATTGATCTATCTGAGCTATACCCTAAACTCCTAGTAACCCCCCCCCCTGAACTAGTAGATCTAAGGCTTTCAAGACTATGGGTTTGCTCTCAACATCTTCATGATGGGAAAATTCGTGATTTCTCGAAGCTTGGTTCGATCTTCGTGCCGGAAGGTGGAGTTGAACAGTTACGTTCGGCAATCACCCCCATGTATCTCGGCTAAACCCTGAACCCTAAACCCTTAACATTTCTAACATGACGGAAGATGGGCCGAAACTTCAAGTCAACCCAGAAATCCACACACACACAACCTTCACAGAGTTTGCGAGGGTTTAGGGTTTAGGATTCAGGGTTTAGGGTTGAGTAGAATGCTCGTCCCCCAAGGTAGCCCAGGACCTTCTCTCTTGAGGTCCCTCTCAAAGTATGGAAGCAGGAACAGAAGGACAACACAAACAACAACTACGGGAATACACTGTGGAACAATGGCACATATTCTTGATACGGAAAAAGCCTGCATCCGTTGGTACATATTCCCGAGAAGTAAGTTGCCTAGGGTCATGAGAGATTGCAATATCAACTGTAGTGCCGTCGGAACACGTGAGCTATAGTCGAACTTTCTCAAAAGGGTTATACAGGTGAATATCCAGGGGACTACTATAGGAGCTATTAAGGGGGATATTAGGAGTTTAGAATGCAGGCTCCTTCCTTCAATGCCAGATTGCCCACGCCGCGCCTTCTTATCGCCATCTTCTGCAGCTTCCTTGGATTTCTTCTCCTGGGAGACGCAGCAACATTTGGGAGTTTCGAAACAATTGGACTTCCCTTATGCCACTGTAAAGGGACCCCATTTTGGTTAAGGGAAGCCCCAGAACGAACTTAACACATCTTGACATCTCCCGGGAGCAGCGTTTCTATTCAATGGTTGAACCAGATCAACAAATCTTCGTATGAAAGACCAGAGGAAAAATCATAATTCGTGTTGGGGACTATAGTACCCCCTAACATTTTTTTTTTTACTCACGTAGGGATTGTATCGGGAGTATTGGGTATCACGCAAACAACTTCTAGAAAACTAGCAGACTTACTTCGGCGCCGGAATCATATACGGATGTTTCATGCTTTTTCTAGGAGACCCACATAGGCATTCCTCCAGGTTTCTGCAACATGTCCTTCTGGTGATACAGAAAAACAAACCCACGCTTTTTAGAAACCCGAGTCCTTGAATCCTAGATTTCTTATCAGTGCTTAGGGTTACGTGGCACTTAGGACCACTACTAAGGGTTAACCCTTAGGTATCTATAAGAGGAGTAAAAGGGAACCCCAAAGGGTTGAGGGTCTAAGTTCCAAGCTAATTCCCAAGGAGATTATATCCCCCTGCAGCCCCAAGAAAAAGCCTTGAATTTTGAGAACCGCTGATGTAGTCCACTTCAATGAGCGCTGGGCTCAGGAAAAGGTTTGTGCATCTGACCAGAAGGCGCGGAAATCCTTTGGGCTTAGGGTCTAGGAGTGGTGAGCTGAGATTATAAGTGAGACAAGGATTGTACATCAAATGTGCGAGGCTTTCATTCCCCCAAACAACCTCACAGAAAATCCACAAACCCTAAACCCCAGAATCCTAAAGGGCGTCTGCAAAGACCACAACCTTCTTGAATGACGCCTGTAATGGATTCCACCTCTGTTGGAGGGTTGCAAGGGGGGGGAGGGGTGGAGGGGGGGGGG